GGGGGGGGGGGGGGGGGGGGGGGTGAGAGAGTAGAGGGAGGGACTCAGGGATTTATATGGTCTCCAGATTACTTTCTTTCTGGAGCAATTCACAGTATGCCCATTACGGGTGTGTCTTAAAGGTTGAGAGTTTCTGATCCGTAGGGTAAAGTTCACGGTAATCTGAAGTTTTGCGCAGTCTGGTCCCTGTCTGCCCATCCTGAATATCCACGCTCATACCACTCCCCTCCAACCTCCATGAATGCTTTATTCTATCATCGTGGTCCTAAAGCCATAGTTTTCTTTTTCATTGAACAAAGGACGCTAATGTTTTACATCTTCATTTCAGACAAGGCCTTCTCTGATTCCCATAGGCAAACTTTGTTATTTGTTTTTATTTCCAATGTTCATTGATTATGGCTTCTATTTATTTTTTCTGGTCGGTCTGATTACAGCTGATTTCTATTTTCTTCCATTTGTTTATCCATACACTCTAATTTTTCTATGATGAACATGTATTGTGTAATTTTTCTCCAGCTTGTAACAACTGAATTAGGGTGTGTGTTTTAAATCCCATCTCAGCAGTACGATCAAAACACTGGATCTCAGATGGTCTTCCCTTAGAGCAGGAAAACAGGCTGCTATTAAATAATACTCCAAGCACATTCAAGTGTGTACATGTTAGGAGACTCAGCTGGGCATGAAACAAAAGTGGCAGGAGGGTAGCACCAATGGTACAGCCATGACAAGACCTAGGCCGTCCTTAACTTGAGGGACAGTAGCACCATATGGACCTGGAAAACAGCCACCAAAACTGAAATGACACCAGAATTGTACCCTGTGCCAAACTCACTTTATCCACAGAACTTGCAGATTAGTTATTCTCCCATTTTAGAGATGAGAATCCTGAAATTCAGGGAGGCTCAGAGACTTGTCCAGTATCCTTCAGGGAGTAAAAGTTAGACCAGTTCTGCCTGACTCCAAAGACCTTTGCTTCTTCAGCTGTGCTGTAGTTAATCATCTTCTGTAATGTCCATCTCTAGGCCATACAAGTAGAAGACACCAAGAGAACAGCTAATCAGTGTATATCAAACATTTCTCTTTGTTGTTGTTTTAGATGTTCATTCAACTAAAATCTTAATCAGAAGCAAAATCAAATAAAACACTAAGCGTAATGTGGTATCCTTGATAGGATCAATTTTGGAGGCTGAGAAGTCCAAGGTCTGGGGGTGGGGGTGTATCTGATAAGGGCCTTCTTGGTGGGGATGTTCTGAAGAGTCCTGAGTCCTGAGGTACAGGGTATCACATGGCTGCGAGGAGGGCTGAGCATTTTTTTTTTTCTTCTTTTTTATGACTGGCCTTTTTTTTTTTTTGGCAGCTTCCAGGTTAGGGGATCCAGACCCTTGACCTTGGTATTATTTTATTAAATTCTGCTGTTTCTTGGTTTGATTGTCTCCTCATTAAACTAATCTTCTTGACATGAGGGATTGGTCTTTTTTTATGTATATCCCTTTTAAGAAAGCATTTGAATGTTTGAATTACCATTCTATCTTTGTTTGAACAGCCATGTACTGCTTACATCACCTTTGGATAAAAAAAAGTTTAGGGTTCAGAAAATATAGGGTACATAAAAATAGTTGCAAATGTCTTTCCCACATCTATTTTAATAAGTAGTTAAAATATATTTTTTTAAAACTGTAATTAGCAATCTCTAAAGTGTATTCTTTCTTGTTCCAAAGCTTGATATTATTTAAAAGAAAGATTTATTACTAAAGGAAATAGAAACTGATTTAATGGAATCATTTGGGTTACTTGAATGACCATTTCTTTAGAATACCTGAGAATATTAAGTTTTATTTGGAACCCTTGGTAATCAGAAAATAGATTTGAAATATTATAAAGCCTCAACCTAATTTCCTAGTCTACAAATTAATTTATGCTATGATTCAGTTTATGTCTCTCGTATGTACATAGTAAAAAAATAGCAGTTTTATACTGATTAATATTATATTTTACTGCTCTGATATATGTAGTAGAGCTTTTTCATTAGATTTGAAGAGATTAAATTAGAAGATGAATTCATTCCAGTTAAAAAAAATAAATCAACCCAAATTAAAAAAAAAAATCTTTGATACCCTCCGTTTAGCTCTCAGTGGGAACCACTTAGGTAGTTATGGAGCCGTTCTGCAAAGGTCTTATGGAATTCTATATTCCCTAGAGTATAATGGAAAAAAATATCCTGGGAGTCAGCAAATACCTACAGTATTTCAGAACATCAGCTTGTGTACTGCATGTTATTCTGAAACTACATACTTAGCTGTCTTGTGAAAAAATTTTATTTATTTCTTCTTTTCTTTTATAGGAATATATTTGTCCTAGATGTGAATCTGGCTTCATTGAAGAAGTGACAGATGATTCCAGGTATTGTATAAGCTCATGAATAAATCAGACATCAAACTATTTTCTCTCAGGGCCGGCTGTGGCTCACTTGGGAGAGTTTGGTGCGGGTAACACCAAGGCCACGGGTTCGGATCCCTGTATAGGGATGGCTGGTTGCTCACTTGGGAGAGCGTGGTGCTGACAGCACCAAGTCAAGGGTTAAGATCCCCTTACCAGTCATCTCTTTTATTTTTTTTCTTTTTAATTTATAAAGGAAAGAGGTTTATTTGGCTTACAGCTGCTTCTGGCGTGGGCCTCAGGCTGCTTCTACTCATGGTGGAAAGCAGCAGGCAGCTGGCAGGTACAAGCAGATCACATGGTGAGAGGAAGCAAGAGAGAGAAGCAAGAGAGAGGAGGTGTCAGGGTCCTTTAAACAATCAGCTCTCGCAGGAACTAATAGAGTGAGAACTCACTCACTACCCCTCCCCCAGGGAGAGCATTAATCCATTCATGAAGGATAGCCCCTATGACTCAATCAGTTAGTTTCCAACACTGCCACATTGGAGATCAAATTTCCACATGAATTTTGGAGGGGACAACACATTCAAACTCCATCATTCTGCCCCAGCCCCCCCAAACTCATGTCACTCTCACATACAAAATACAATCATTCTATCCCAACAGTCCCAAAAGTCTTAGCTTGCTCCAGCACCAACTTAAAATTTCAAAGTCCAAAGTCTCATCTGAGACCAAAAGCAAAAGTCCTTCCAGCTGTGAACCTGAAAAACAAAACCAAATTTATCTACTGCCAAGATACAATGGTGGAACAGACATTGGGTATACATTTTCATTCTAAAACGGAGGAATAGGCCAGAAGAAAGGAGAAACAGGCCCCAAACAAGTCTGAAACCCAGCAGGACAGACATGAAATCTTAAAGCTCCAAAATAATCTTCTTTGACTTGAACTCCTGCATCCTGGGCACACTGCGGCACCTAGGCCCCCAAAGCATCAGGCAGCCTTGTTCCCACAGCTCTGCCAGGAAAAGCCCAGTGGGCTGTGCTGGTGCCTGTGGCTTTTCCAGGACTGCATTGCATGTTACCAGTGGCCTTGCAGTTCTGGGGTCCTGGCAGCAGCCCTGCTGCCTTGGCTCTACTAGACATTTCCCTGGTGGGGGCTCTCTGTGGGGGCTCTGACCCCACTTTTCTGCTCTGTGTTGCTCTAATAGATGGCCTCTGCAGTGGCTCTGCCCCTGCAGCAGGTCTCTGCCTGGGCTTCCAGGCTTTTCCATACATCCTCTGGAATCTGGGTGGAGGATGCCACACCTCCACTGCTCTCACATCCTGCCAGCCTGCAGACTTAACACAGCGTGGATGTCACCCAGGTTTCGGGCCTCTACTCTCCAGGGCTGCTGCATGAACCACA